AGCGCGTGACGAATATTAAAAGAAAGCTAAGCCGGAAAATTGAAAATACAAGAGCGCGTACATTAAATAAATAAATATCTCTTTTTGAGTTCGAGAAAGTACTAGAAAATTCTAGCGCGTGATTTTAAAATCTTATAAAAGGAGGAAAACATCTCAGTTCGTAGTAGTTGCTTAGTTTTTGTTGTTTAGAAAACTGCTCTTGTTGATTGTAGCGAATTCGCGGATTAGCTTTCTTTAGCTGTTTTGAATTACGTTCTATTGGACATTTGAGTAGTTAAAAGGTAACTACTGTGAGATATTGTAATACTGCACGATAATTTGAGAAAATTTAAGCATTTTTGTTGCGATAATAATAAATTTTTGTTCATTTTTCATAGGACTTATGCATTCATTTCATAACGAACCCGTACGCACGCAACAATATTATATTTTAAGAGTAAAAACATTACCTCGGAATTCATAAAGCAGTAGAGCAGTCCAACGAAAAAGCCCTGCAAAAAAAAAAGTACTTCACTTTAAAGTCTGTTGTATAAAATGAATTCACAAACTATCAGAAGAATCAAAATAAATATAGAGAAATTTTGGCACAAAACTGTTTAAGAAAATATCCCGGAAACGTAATCTTCCGCGATGGTAATAGAAACAAATATTTAGGCATATAACCTATAGTTGCTGTTAAAATACACAGATATTATATGGACACAAAGCAAAATGACAAAATTAGATTCAGTTTTAATTATGTACCATAAGAAGCTTCAGTTTAATTTCAGGTTAAAAAAAAAGATTCATTTTAAATTGTGCAGTATAAAAAATTACAGATTATAAAAATAATGAAAAGAAATTACGAAGAAGTTACGAACTGTTTAAGAAAGCGTTCTGTAAACATTTGCAATGAAGCTAGGAACATTTTGCAATGAAACTAGGAACATTTTGCAATGAAACTAGGAGCATATTTCGATATGCGAGAAATTCTCTGTTAAAATACACAGATATTAGATAGGCTATTAGGAGTACAGAATAAAGGTAAACAATTGAGTTAAAATTCTGTAGCATAAAAAGATTCAGTTGAAATTCAGGGAAAAGATTTAATTTGAATTCTGTAGTATAAAAAAGAATCACATTATATGGAACATACGATTTTTCACAATGAAAGGAATAACGATGAAAGGAAATTAGGAAGAATTATGATAAAAAACTCTAAGCAAGCATTCTGTAAACGTAAACTTCCACTGACTAAAAAGTAAAATGACTGAAAATCGCAGCGAATTATCCATATTTAATTTTACTCTTGATAAATATCTCTGATAGCCAGTTTTGTAAAGCTCCATGGCTTTGTGATACCTTTGCGATTTATAGTCAGAGCTTAGAAAGCTTATTCCCAGAGGTATAATGATGTTCTATACAGAAAAATTTTATGTTCCATATAATGGAATGGTGTCCGAAGAGAAGTTTAGGTAGTGAAACGAAATTTTAATAAAATAATGTTGAATAAGCACTATTGTAAAAACAAACTCTAACAGGTTCATCAAATGGTATAGGTCCATCAACAAGATCATTAAACTGAAGCAAAATCAATGAAAGTTACAAAATGATCATCAACGATTATCGTCTTATCCATCAACAAATCACTGAAAACTGGAACAAAAGCAATGAAAATTGCAAAATGATCATTAACTGGTATCGGCTTAGTAAATACAATAACGTAAACAGAAACAATGCAAACTGAAACATGATTCAACAATCGGTATCAGTCCATCAATAGATCACTACAAACTGAAACAAAAGCAATGCAATTTGCAAAATGATCATCAACTAGTAGCGGTTTAGTAAATAAAATAATGTAAACAGAAACAATGCAAACTGGATCATGATTCATCAGTTGGTATCAGTGCACAAACAAATCACCACAAATTGAAACAAAAGCAATGAAAATTGCGAAATGATCATCAACTTGCAAATAAAATAATATAAACAGAAACAGTGTGAACTGGAGCATGATAATCAATTGGTATCAGTCCAAAACAATCAACACAAATTGAAGCAAAAGCAATGAAAATTGCGAAATGATCATCAACTAGTAGCGGCTTAGTAAATAAAATAATATAAACAGAAACAGTGTGAACTGGAGCATGATAATCAATTGGTATCAGTCCAAAACAATCAACACAAATTGAAGCAAAAGCAATGAAAATTGCGAAATGATCATCAATTAGTAGCGGCTTAGTAAATACAAATAGCGTAATCTGAAAATTGGAGTATGATCGTCAAATGGTATCAGTCCATCAACAAATCACCACAAATTGAAATAAAAGCAATGAAAATTGCAAAATGATCATCAACTAGTATTGAATAACTAAAATAACGTAAACAGAAACAATGCAAACCGGTGCATCATCATCAATTTATATTGACCCTTCAATTAAAACAATCTGAAACATAATGGAAATCAAAGCATTAGTATATAACTGTTATAAGACCACCACCCGGAGCATGATAATCATTTTATGTTGACCCTTCAATAAAAACATAATCAAGAAAATAATACAAATCAAAAGCATTAGTATAACTATTATAAAACAAGAGGTGCTATAATGGAAAATAGGAATATATTGCAGTCGCAAACTGACATTTGAAGACCATGAAAGTAAGTCCTGACTTTCCTGAAGGTAAAGGTCGCCGACCCTTCGTAACGTGACGTAAGACATGGAATGTCGGACGTTTTAAAATGTACTGGGCACGACCGATGGTTGTCGGGCGTATTTCAAAACTACAAAGATTCCACCCGGTGCCCACCGGCAACTTTATTGCCTTGAAAGTCATGACTTAAGTTTATTGTCTTTAAAAGTCAATCTTCAATCACAATGTATTCGTCCTAATAGCTTTTACGGGTGGCTGTCGAATGTTTTCTTCCACAGACATTGACAACCTCCCTGTCTTGTTATGATTGCATTGCTACAGGATTTCGAGTCGTGTAGATGTTTATTTCTCTACTTACGAATAACACTGTATAACTACTGTCCTACAACAGAAACGTTCCTACAGATCTGAATACGTTGTGGGGAATTTTCAGTTTCAGTAACACTTGCTACTGTTATACTTGTGTGAAAGGGAAATAACTTGAGTGAACCATTGAGTCATGAGAAGAAAAAAGTAACAGAATATTTGTATATTTTTAAAAATATCTACTACTCTTTTTACAGCTATAAATGAAATATGGGCTTCTCAAACTAGCTGTAGATTTATATGACAAAGGTTAAATACAGTAAGACACCGCTTAACGCGGGGAATACGTTCTATCGAAGTAGAGCGTAATGCGAAACAGCGCTAAGCGAGGCTATCTTAACATGTAAATAATGGGGTTAGGGGAAGACGGATAAAAAATGGTTAGGCATTAAATTTAATAATGTTTTTTTAATAAAAATAAAATCAAACATTTATTTCTTACAAAAATAAAAAACAATATAAACGCATATACTTTTAAAAAACAAATAAAATTCTCAGTCAGATCATTCAGTCTATTCTGGGTTTCCAATTTTCTGCCTTTTGTCAAGAAGGCATTATGAAGATTGGCTTAATGGCATATTGCGTTCAATTTCGTCGTCAATCCATATAGACAGTCGTTTTCCATTTCCTCTATAATGTTATTTCTAGAACGGGTAATTCTAGGTGCAGTTGCCGATGACAGTATTTTTTCTTTATTCTTAAGAATTGTCCTTATTGTTGAAGTTGCCAAAATCAAATGCAGCACTAATTTGAGATTGACGTTCACCAGAATCTAATCTCTAATCACTGCATTTGAGTTTCCAGTGAAATGCTTTTTTCTGGTGCTTCTTTTCTTGTTTTTTATTATCACCCATGATAAAAACTAAAAAGATTAATATTTGCTCGTGATTTTATTTCACATAAGGCTAAACATTAGTAAATCATTTTAAATCAAAGACCTACATGGTCCAACCACATTACAAGTGCCAAGACCAAGGCCATTGGCATCACGTGCATGTTTCTCCCTATCATTGTAAAATACTAAAATCTTAGCTTGCGTACCAAAAAACATATCTATACTACCTGCATTCGACCAATACTTTGCTATACTGCTCCTGCTTGGAACACGGTTACTCAAACTCAGCTTCATCAATTGCAAGTTGTACAAAACAAATTTCTGCGCATTATTACTGACTCCCACTATCTTATTCGTAATGAACTTTTACATAGAGATGTAAAGCTTGAAACAATTCCAGATTACATCAGAAGATCCAATGAAAACTTCTTCAAAAAAGCTGTACAGTGTGACTTCGTAAATTACTCTCCAGTTTTTAATTATGAAATTCTCTTCGAAGATCGAAGCTTCGGGCCACTGGCAGCTCACACCTTCATATGGGAGTAGATAACAACTTTATCACTTAGCTCCTCAATTGGTAGCTGTTTATACTTCTAATGCATCTGTTCTTGATAGTAGTATTTCTGCTGTTTGAACATTGTTCTTGGAAAGTGTGGTTACTATTGCTGTGATGTAAATTGCATTATTGTGATGAAACTGTTGTGTTGGAATTTTGTAGCCTAGGTGGTTGTAGAATTGCTGTATTGAATTGTGTTGTATTGTTGTATTGAATTGTGTTGTATTTGTTTACTTAGTTGTATTGATTGAGGTTGTATTGAAGAATTTGAGTTTGTCATTGAAGCCATTGCTGTATTGTATTTTCTCATATTGTTGTCATTGAACCTGCATTGTCTTGTATTCTTCTAGAAAACTCTGATGGCTCGTCATGTTTCGAGAATTTGTCTGATTAGATTGCATTGCTCCTTTTAGTAATTCTCTTTTTCCCTCTTTTCTCTTCTGAGATTGCTTCCACGTCCGGATTGCATTATGTCATGTGCCCTAGGCCTTTATTTCTGGAACCGGCAACGTTGCTCTTCGCAATGGTTCGGTCAATTATCGAGTCTAAGTCCCCCTAATGTAGATTTATATTCACTTGGATACTTCTTAGGATATACACTTACCTGTGACGATTGTAGAATAGCGTTTGTAATCATACAGGCTTCTTCAAACATGGCATCATCTTTGGGGTTGACGTAGAACATTAAATGAGTGAGGCCGAGAAGAGGGAAAAGCAGAGCAGTTGCCTTAACAGCTTTCCTGAAAAGAAATTAAATAGCAAGTAAATATTTCGTCAAGATTTCAACTTAGTTCACCACTGATCATGAACAATACATGAGAATAAAAATTAACTGATTAAAATTATTGTTCGAGAAAGGTTCGGTTGAAAGGAATAATGGATTTCGAAATGCATGTAATTATTTAAAAGGAAGATGAACAAAAAATTCCTCCTTAATTTTTGTACTTTCAGTACTCCGAAAAATGTATACAACACTCACAAGAACGTACCTGAATAAGAGAAGTTCAAATTTTTCATCTAAAATACTTTAGACAGAATGTGGTGTGGACACCACATAAGTTACTTGCACGACCTATTAAATTACACATATTTTGCTGCGCTTCATTTAAACTTACTTCTTCAAATTTCGTCAGAGATATATTTCGCATTCAATTAATTCAGTTCTCACTTCGTAGCAAGGCAAAATTACAAACAAATTCAAAACACCTTCGTAAAAAATTGTAAAATACAGATAATCTAAAACATCAAATACAGTTAAAAAATTTTTTTAAAATTAAAATTAGAGTTTCTGGGTAAAAATAAACTATTCGGCCAGCACGCAGGAAGACGGATTTTTCGGTGTACAAAACTGAAAGTTTACTTTTGGTCTCACTCAGCAAACAGACACTGAAGTTGGTGCACAAACTGACTTAATTCACTGTTCTACTATGAATTTCAAATATAAACAAATGGCAGCTTCGTTAGGCTTAGTTCAATTAAACAACTTTTAAATTGTTGAAACTAAATATGGAAAAAATCTTAGTACGCTATTTCATAAAAAGTCTGATTTGGTGTCAGAATACCTATGTTAGAACTATGCTATATATAAATCTAATATATACCATAAGTCTCGCTTGACATGGAAAACAGAAGTTAAATTTCGACAATCTGTCTAGTAGAATGGGAGATATAGAACTGTTCCATTTTTTGTGCAAGGTGTACATATGGTGTCGGATAAAAATATTGTTAGCAACATTACTAAACATAGATCAGTTGAATGCGTCCACAGCACACATTTTTTTTCTCTTCGCATTTTCTAATATAAGGTTACTTCTTGTGATATTAGTATTGACTAAGTTAAAACACCATCATTAAATTCGTATACGTTAATCTCGCGTAGAAGCTAATATACGACATCATTGTAGTAAGAATTGAAATTACAGGTTAATTCAGTGTTCTACTTTGGTCGCAAGTTAGATGATCAGCGTGCACATTTACAGACTGTTAAGTGTAGCCATGCTTTTATTATTATTTTTTTTTACTTTTGCTATACTATTTATAGTGAGGATGTAAACTGATGAAAGTTTCCCAATAATTTGTTCCAGGTATCTTTGCCAGTAAAAATAGTTTCTACTTGGAGTTGTTAATAGGGTTCCAAAGTTTTGTTTAACTTTTTTTGCTCTTCTGGCTTGTTTATTTACGGGAAAATTCACCCCCCCCAAAAAAAAAGTGATACAAGAAAATTATCAGAATTTCTAACAAAATGGCTATTTTTAACAATACTGATATAAACCAAATCCTTACTGGCCACGGGAAATTTCCCTATTATTTTAAGAGATTCAACTTACAAAATAATGAACTTTGTGCTTCTTGTAATGCAATTGGAGACGCGAAACATTTTGTGGGGGGCTGTCCTGTTTCCGCCGATCAGAGGAAGCTTTACAAAATTGATAATGCTATATATATAAAGATAATTTTGATATCAAGGCTTTTATATCTTTTGCACAAGATGTCCTTAAATTTATTAATGTAAATCGACGGGTAATTGGAATTCTGATCTGATGATGTCCTTTGTGCTCATTTTTGTATGTTCATGAGTGCTTGTTATATGTTTTTCCATATTTTTATTTTATATATGAGTATTATTTGTATCTTATTTATATTTTGTACTATATATTATTTATTTTGTATGTGATGTTCTTTTGGGGTCACTCTTTTTTTCTCTGACCATGAGGCCACTTAGTGGCCAGGTGGATCTGAGTGTTAACCCCAAATGTATTACAATGTATTACAAGTTTATATGAAATGTTAACTTACGAAAATTGTGGTTGAGCATCTGAAAACTTTGGAAAATATCAAAATGTTTACCTTAATTATTCTTGTAGTATCTGAAGATTGTTTGGCGATCAACAAAGCGTGCTTGGCGAGTTTCGCCTCTTCTCCTAAAAGGAATGCTATATTTAGAGTAGTTGAATGCTTAGCTTCCGTCCCAGCGGAAGAGGGAGGTGCTGGATTATTGTATGTTGTAGGAGTGATGTACTGCTACGAGTAAAATTATATGCCTTAATGTTATATTAATAAATGTTTTGTTTCGTCTTGTCAAATGGTGCATTCTTAACCATGAAGCCATTACACTTCTTTGTTTTGAAGCAGTGTACGCAACGATTTGAAGCAGTGTACGCAACGATTTGTGAAGCAATTTAAAGTGGACTTCTAAATTTTAAAACTTTTATTTTAGGAAACATGTTAAGATATTATTTTTATATATTTAAAACTGTTAATTAATTCTAAGATTCTAATAATACAATCTATAGGATGTTATAAGCCTTGTTGTTTACTTTAGATATTATTTGTTGTTAATTTAGTTATTACTCTTAGCGTTAGAGTGTGTTCTGCGTCTTGGTTAATATGATTCAGAAAGACGAAGAGAAAGAAAATGGCGAAGAAAAAAGAAGGGCGAAGAGGTAGAATTGTGTATGTGTGGACGTGACGCTGCAGCTGGTGGCATTAAAAAAATAATAATTGCATTACATTCATATAACTAAAGACATAAAACTAAAGAAGCACTCAACTTATTAAATGTTAAATATTTACGGTTGCAGGTATAAGTGTATAACTAGGAGTTCCACCATAGGTTGTATAGGTGCAGTAACATGCCATTAACTGTGCAACTCCGCCCCACGTTTGAGAGAGAACATCCCAGAGGGGGCAAGTAAATTTTTCGAAAATAAGAATAATCAAAATCATTAAGAGAGAGATCATTGAGCAGTAAAAAAATGTTGATTCTTTCTGTGCGCTGTACCAGAGTTAAGATCAATATTAACACATGACAAAATTATATGAGAGAGGTCATTAGGGATTGAAGACATGGACAGAACTTATAAAAGACACATGCATGTTGGTCTGTCATTTTCATTATAAGAATTTTTCAATTCTTAGAGAGCGGTTGGATGATTAGTAGTGAAAGAATGAAATAATGTCTTACTTGATTTGCGCGCTTTCTACTGATACGCTTCGGTTTAGTTTTGTAATCAATATTCTGACTATTGACCATAAAAACACTGTTTACCTGACTAAAGTATGAACTTTAATCACTCACTTTTATTAAACACTTAATAATTAACGGTATTCAAATATTTATTACATGAAACATATTTTCTGCGCTGCTCCACCTAAGAATAACTACGTCTCCGTCCTTTAAGTACTCTGTATTTAACGCAGATGTTTGTGTTTACCACACATAAAGCTCGGATTAACCTTTTTTCTTTTTATTTTGATAGAAAGAAGGAAGAAAGAAGAAAGAGGAAGATGGAGGAAGGAAGAAAGAAAAGAAGGAAAAAGACAGAAGAAATAGGAAGAAGAGGGAAGAAGGAGGAAGGAACAAAGAAAAGAAGAAGAAAGAGAAAGGGAAGAAGAAAGGAGCAAGAACGCAAGAAGTAGGAAGGAAAAAGGAGAAGCTATATAGATATATCGAGCTATGTATGTGATTAAAAAAAAAATAAAAAGACGTAGAAATGTTGTTAGGCGTAGAACGTAGATACATATCGAAGAAAACTCCACAATGAATGAGAAATTTGGCAGTCGAGGTAAATATTAAATCCCATTATAATTAAAATTCACATTTAGAACACCCGTTCACTTCACTTGGCAGTCTAATCTTGCCTATTTGCAGAACATTTACATTTTTAACACAGTTGCCACAGGAACAGAGCAGAGAGAAATAGCGTTCAAGCAGCAACAGAGTTACAAGCGAAGTGAGCATTTATCCAATATGGCAGATCACCAAAGAGGAAGGTATTGGTTTTACAAAGGTTTCAGATCTCCGAGTTTAGGTTCCGAAATAACTACGTCCGTCATACGCGTTACGCAAGCTTTGTGGCATAAATTAATCTAGAAATGAAGCAGTCCAGAAATGTTATTATTATTAGAATAAAGACGAATTAACCAAATTTGATCCGGCTCCACTTCTTCCTTTTCGATATGTGACGACACACTAAGCATAAAGTATGTTCGCCAAGCAACATTGCTATGATTCTACTTTTCAGCGTTCCTATATAAGCACTTACAATACATCTTACTTACTACACTACAATACATCTTTTTTATGTCAGTACTTACAATACTTACTTACTACGTCAGTAATTACAATACTTCCTTTCCTTCGTAGAAGGAAGTAAAAACAGAAAAATATTTCCGGCTTAAGTTTCAAACTCGAAAATGTACGTCTCCACAGTTTTCAAATTACATTTCAGTTCATTAACAGAGCTGGGAGACATAAAGGTCTATGTAACATAAACAGAAAACATCGCTAGTTATTAAATATAAAAAGCTTTTGTAATGCATACATGGATATTAAGAAAAACATATAGCAGAAATAAAGCGATTAGTTTGGAAGTTACCAGCAAAGCGATGACCATAGGACCAGTTAGAATCCATACATAATTGGACTTTCCATAACCTTTCCAACACGATGTATGAAGCTCACGTGACATAATAAAGGTCCACGTAGACACAAAAACCAGCGGCAAACCTTGAAAAGAAAACCATGAAAAAAGAAACAAAATTAAGCTGTTTATTTTAAAAACACTGATATCACCTAATAAGAAAATTTTTGCAAAAGATCTGAATCCTTTTAAATTATTGAAGAGGCAATCATAATAGCATAACTTCACCGGTTATCATAAATTAAGAAAAAATCACGAATACTGAAAAAGTTACATGTAGAATTTAATGAAACTAACCCACAATATGCAACACATAGTAAGGTATCAAATAACATAAAAAGAAATTACCAGACAAATATGGTAGTATAGAAATAGCACATGACTAAAATGGAACAAATCGAAAGGGTGCAGTTTGCTATAGGAAGTACCTTCATATGGAATATGATCGCTTCTAGAGCAGTACAGCACATACAGCGATGTGTGAGGCTTTCAATTATGTGGTCTTAAGTTTCATAGGAAGCGAGAGCATTGCTCTTGCAAAGCAGTTGGAAGCGCGACAAGGTTTTAGGGGGCGGAGATTGGAGCAGCTAGAGTCTCCTAAAGCATCCCAAACGTGCTCGATAGGATTCAAGTCCGGATCGAGCTGGCCACTCCATGCGCATAATTGTTTCTGTTGAAGATAATCACTATGATGCGAATCCTGTTGGTCTTGCGTTGTGGTCCTGTAACAGGAAAGCAAAAACCTATTGCCCCGGCATATGGGGCGCCATAAACATCAAGGAGTTGTCATCTCCATAATCTGAGCATAATGGTTCCTTGGAAAAACATGGAGGTCTGGAGTCCACCAAAGAGATGCCACCCCAAACATAGACACTACCCCTTCCGTATGCATCTCTTTCACGGATGTTTGACGGATGATAACGGGTTCTAGGTTCTCTCCATATCAAATAACGCCTACTATCACTTTCTAGACTAAAGCTGGACTCATCCGTAAAGAGAACCGCCCTCCATTGATCAGGCGTCCAGTGGACATGTAGTCGTGCCCACTGAAAACGGTTACTCCTATGGCGTGACGTGAGCGGCCCACAAATGGTTGGCCGCCTCACATATAGATCTCCTTTGTGAAGCCTTCTACGCACAGTTGACGTTGACATGAACCTTTCGGTGGCTGCACCAAGGGAGGATCTAAGAAGAGTCGGAGTAGCGGTTCTATTCCTGCGTACACATAATGTCAAATATCGGTCATCGGTGCTCGTCGTAGTAGTTGGCCGTCCCTGGCTGAACCTCCTAGATGCCGAATCTGTGGTTTGAAATTGCCTCTAAAGTCTATGAACCACAGAAGGACTCACATTTAGCCATCTGGCCACTTCTGTTTGACTGTTCTGTCTCTAGTCTTCCAATGGCTCTCCATCGCAGTTCTGCAGGCAAATTATGCCTGGAGGTCATTGTTACGAATTCGCTATCTCAGATTTCTGATGTCACTGTCACAGTGAAATATGTGGACTTGCTCTCAAACATGGACTTATGCCCTCGTAGATGAGTATTCGATAGCAGCGCCATAATTTGCATATCGCAGTTTTACTCAGCTACTCGCTTACTTACTTGCATATCGCTTACAACTTACTTGGCAACATATTCAAAGTTTACACGGTTTGGCTTATTTTTGAGGGAGTATCGCTATTTTTGTGATTTTTCCTTAATTTATGATAACTAGTGTACAAAACAAAGTACACTGCCCCCCCCCAAAAAAAAAGCAACATCTCCCGTTCTACTGGTCGGACTGACGAAATTCAACTTGCGTTTTTCGTATCTCGAAAGCGCGACTTAGGATATGTATTATATTTATATATAACATTGTTTTAATACAGGTATTTTGACATAAAATCGGACTCTTTCCGAAATGACATGCCAATTTGTTTTTCATATTTCGATTCTATGATTCAAATTATGCGAAACTGCCAAATTTTGTAAAAATCGCAAGAGTTGTTTTTAAACTATTAGCTCTCAAGATTTTAGCTCCTCAGTATTAATTGAATTTGGTATATATTTACTAATCTCTCTTTTGTTTATTAACCTTATTTGATTCTTCCTTTCAAATTTCGAAATTTAGGTTCTTTCAAAATATAATTCACCAGTATTTATGATTTATTTTTAAATTTGTATTTTAAAATAATTTTTATAATTTTTTCGAAAAAACGTTTTGAATAATCTATAAAATTGTTGCCATCATCTTAAAGAGTATGTATTTCTAATCACACAGGCAAAAAACTAGCGTATTTTATTCAAAATTTCTGAACATATATGGACATTTATATATTGGCGCGTTTTGAAATTTAATGACATCAAATGTGTTTTACGCATTTTGTTAAAATTATTTGAAAGTAGGAACGATGTGATATTTTTTGCCGCTCATGCACAATGTAAAAAGGGAAAGGAAAATTGTTTTTCATAAATTAAGTGGTTCGCCAAGTTAATTAGTCTTGGCGCAAACTGAAAAAAATACGCCAAGATAAATCTTTAAATTTCTCCGTAAATTTAGCAAATTTTAGAACTAGGCGTAATTTGAGTCGTAGAGTAGCAATACGGAAAAAAAAACCGGCATGTCATTTCAGGAAACGTTCTATTTTGTGTAAAAATACCTATATTAGAAGAATGATATATCCTAAATCCCGTTCTTGAGACATGAAAAATGCAATTTGAATTTCGCCAATCGACCTAGTAGAATTTGAGATGTATAACTATTCCTTTTTTTTTTTTTTTGTTTTTTGGAGTGTACATTTTGCTTTTCCAATAATATCTACTTTAGAATAAACAGTATATTTATTCCTTTAATTTAAAAAAGATTCAAAGAGAAGTAATTTACTCCGTTTCAGCAGAAACAGATGCTTGTTATCTTGGGTATCTCAGCATTAATTCAACGAACTAATAACTATCACGATTATTGCGATCCTCTAATAGTCATAGTTACATATTTCACCTTTATTTAATTTTAAAGACCTTTATTAGTCGACTATCGAATAGTTTTTAAGTAGTTGCCCTCTAGAATATTTATTGTGATATCTGTAAGAACTAATATATACTTACATATTAAAATATGTCTAAGAAATTAAGATAATATATTAAAAGTACACAAATCCAGGTACCAAATACCAATAGAATTTTTACATCAAAATCAAGAAACGTACGTGCAGGAATCCTTCATTAATTGTTCTTTACTAATTGAAGGATTAAATATCCTTGTGAAGGACTAACTATGGGGTATGCAGTATATCCGTATTAGATATGTATAATATTCGTTCGTTAACTGATTCAAAGAAACTATTTATTCTTCTGAGCGAAGGAATGTCGATTCCTCTAAAAAGAGCGGTAGCATTTCCAGAGTTCACTCACCAAGAGCTCTTGTTGGAAGCTTGTCAGGAAAGTTCGATAGCCATTTTAGGAGAAAAAGAAATATTTATCCTCCCATGTCAAAGTAAGATTAATTTTTATAATTACCTAACTTTTTTAACCTTCTTTTATTCTAGAATTTTATTTACAGTTCATTTTGGAAATGAGGTTTTAGGGTTTGGTTTGGTTTGGTTTATTTAAAGACGGCAAAGCACACTAGGGCTATGTGCCTAAGGGAAGGGATGCCTTCATGGAGGACTTTCTAAGGGAAACTGGTTCGTATACACGTTACACATGGGGAAAACCACGAAAATGCCCAAGCAGCCAGCCCGTTCGCGGGATTCGAACCTCGGACCGAACTACCAGTGTTCAGCGACTTTAGAGGTTTTAGGGATCTCGAAATCACATTTTAAAGAAAATTAGTTGAAGAAACTAGCGGTTTGACTGAGTTGATTCTTCCGATCCCACTGCTCATTCGATTCTTATCATGCTTCTCTCTATTCTAACATAAATATCCCGATTCATTCCCTGTTCCCGATCTTATTCATCGAGGTAATTATTAGTGACAGCTAAGTTTTAAAAAAGATTCGATTAATTTAGTTACCAAACGGTTCTGATCTAAGTTGTCCATCTCTAGTCCATGTATAGATATTTTCTGGATATGAAACTAAGATCATCCTGTTTCGAATCCAGGTGTTTATAGCAGCGGCTCACTGAAATGTAACTCTTTAAGAGATAGGGGACACTTTCATTGTTCTCACACTTGGGCAAGAGACGATAGAGGGGTAAAATCACTGAACACTGGTAGATCAACCTATGTTTGGATTTCGAGGAAAGGGTAGGCTGCATAACAGTTTAAGTTGCGAGAGAATTTTTCCCTTCTTCAAAGTGTCCACGAGTGCGGTCGGGGGTGGACAAGACTGCTAAGCATTACTAATTCATTCCCGCTTCAGTTTCTGCGAAGGAGCCAACTGCAGGGGGTTTATGCGATTTTCCCAATGTGTCATATGAAATGTGTTCGTCTGAACACTGCACGGTGATTTAAATCTTGGTGCATTTCCTTACGATGCTAATTATGATTACAGTCTTCATCCAAGTGTGGTCGTTCGAATGATGGATAAATTATAATGTATTGCACAGCCCTCAAATTCAAGAATGAAGCACTAGAAAAGTAAAACTGCCCGC